AACTGGTTTAACATAAACATGGATACTGCAGGATCAGACCTAACTGATTTAGGTGAAACCGGATTCTGTCCCAGATCCACTCCAGATTGAAGTTAATTCAAGTTAACTCAATTGCCCAGCATCCTAGAATGCTTTGCACTCCCCCCCCCCACAGACACCCGTTTCAGGGTGGGTGAGATAGACTTGGCCCACACTGTCTGTTCCAACCAACCAGGGAGGTGTGTTGTAGCACCCTACCCCTCCAGAGCTTCTGGCTTGGGGCACTGCAGGTATATGGCTGCATTTCTTGAATCAAAAATGAATGTCTGTTCACTTGCTTATCAGCTCAATCTACATAGCTAAGACTAAACTGTGAAGACTGAATCAATCCTTCTTGGGCTTTTTGACCATCTGTACTTAGCCTATATGATCCAGGCAGTTTAAAGTTAGCTTGGGCAGCTCTACATGAGTTTCAATCACATCTTTGGATTTCAATAGAGCAGTGCTACACAACTTTCCAAGCCTGCAGGCTGGAAGTGATGCAGGGTCAATACAAGGCCTGATCCACTATGGTCTTTCCTGACTGGGGCCTGATCCAGCAGGATGCAGGCCTGGCCTGCCCAGGGCCTGATCTACACAGCACATGAGGCCAGCCTTGCTGTTTCTTCATCCAGCTTGAAGGGCCAGCTTGGTGCATGGTCCAAGCCCCACATGTGGAACTGGGCCCCTTGCCAGATTGTTCCAAGTCAACTGGCCCATGGGTCTTGGAAGTTTGGTGGTGCGGGAGGGTAGCAATGTTAATAATTGCCACTGGTCCTCTGCTGTCAAACTTCTGGGCCTGTGGAGAGCCCTGCAGGCAGGATGACATGGCTTAATGGGCCTGATCTGGCCTGTGAGCTGGAGGTTGACTACCACTGTGATAGAGCATCAGTGTCACACCGAAAATAACCTTGTTTTTCCCCAATTCAATTCTCCTTTTCCCTAGGTAACAAGAACCAACGAAGTGTTGCTGGAAAGTGCTCTGGAATGTGTCCAGGAGTTGTCATGTGATCGTTCTATTGCTTACTTCCCTTTGCAAAGAAAACATACCAGTTCTAAAAAAAGTCCTGTCACAACCTCACCACCTGTCAGCAAAAATATTAAATAACCAACCACTCAATGTTAGTGCCTTTTAATGGAAAAAAACAACAAATATGTTTAAAAAGGGAATATTTGTATAACTAAGCAATACCAGACTTCCAAAGGTTTTGTTTCCAACACTGTGGAAAATAAATAAGCCACGCGCGCGCGCACACACACTGAGAAAACTGCAATATCTTCAGATTAAGCTGAATCTTTCATTCTCTGGTGAACCACACTTATATTATTATTAAACCACAGGCTATACTGTCCCAAGGAAAAGGAAGGGAAAAAAACCTCACTTTCCTGCTTTCTCATCCTTCTCACAATATGTTTTATGTTCCTAATAAGATAACAGATAACACGCACAGCAATTTTTGCAAGCAAATTGCCAGGCTTATAGAGTAAATCACAAGGAAGAAATGAGTAAGTAACCTTATAATTTCCAAGTGCAGCACATAAGGTATCTTCTTTGCTCAAATAATGGTTAAGAAAGAAAATAAATTAAAGCATTTCTTTATTTGCATTTTCAAGACCCATTTCAAGGGGATATGGTTTAAATAATAATTTCCCTAAGGGTTTGAGAAGAGTATCCAACCAGCTGCTTCCAGCCTGGCTGCAATTTAGCATCTAACCATATGTTCTATTCACATGGATACTCTTTGAATTTGAGGTTAATCCTTTACAAGAGTTGAATGTTATTCTCTAGGTTTAATTATAGAGAGATTTCTTAATTTTTTTTCTAATCTAGATAAAATATGAATAAAAAAAGGGCAAGACAAAACAGGTAAAACTTATATTCTTTCAATCTTAAGAGCCAAACATTTTTAGTCATATAATTATTTCTATTTTATAAATATCAACATCTCTTACCAATAATGGGAAGTACTGATAAATTAACATTTGGAACATTTTCTAGACTAATATCTGGGTACATAAAATAAAGCATGTTATGTTAGGAAGAAAAATAGGAGCTAATATGGTTAAAGTATTTAAAATTTCAGTACAATCTTATGATTGCCCTACATAATGGGTTGGCATGTGATATATGGATACTGACCTAGAACCACTGAAAATGTGCTCTAAGGTAATGATGCGGAAGAGGCATTTTGATTTCCTACTAGTTTCAAAAAGTCAACACTTTTGAAAATGAATGCTTTTTAAATTGTAATTGAACTGAAATGTCACAACATTATATTTTATAATTGTGCTAATTAAAACAAAATTAATAATTTTTCCCTTATTTAAGAGAAAACATTGAAATCCTTAGTAAAAAACTATATAAGAAAAATGTTTGTATTCTTTGGAATTTTATTTTGGGCTATTTTTATCCCTGAAACAATTTCACAATTTTTACATAAAATAGTTACTATAAATGATTGAGTATTGCCTAATCTTCACTTCTGGCTGAAAGAGTTTCACTTGAAAAACTCAACCAGCTTTACACCAAAACTTCAGTTGTGAGCTATGCAGAGGCATGGTCTTTTCCTTCTTATGTGTGGGTTTTAGGCTAGGCCTGTCTTTCCAAGCTTGAACCTTCCTATATTGAGAACTGGAGCTAACATAACCTTCTATCTTACTTTGGAAGAATACATTAATTTGGGTTATATTTAGCCCTTGTACTTAAAACTCATGGTTAATTTTTTTTTTGGAGTAACAGCATTGGATGAAATCCTGTGGTAAAACCCCATTAACTTTATTTGAGAAACAAATTCACTTATTGGTTGTAGTAGGACCAAGTAAATAGTTATAAAATCCTCAGAATCTTAATTACTTCATACTTAAGCTGGCTAGAATCACAAATATCAATTACAGAGAGGAATTATCATGGGATATTTAATGCTGCTACTCTGAGAACTTTGGGGAAAAAGCATATTTCATCATTGTTGTTTTTGCAGTCTGGGAAATTCATAGAACTTCCATAAGATTTGAATTTGTAAAATTCATATTGGTTAGGTTGGGGCATAATGCTGCAGAACTCGTTTTTAAGTTATTGGAAAGCATGCTTTAAATATTCTTCAATTTTAAAGAATGGCCTCCCCCCCACCATCTCCCACCCCCCTCCTTATTTTCTACACCAGGATCTTGGAAGCATCCCTGAAATGTTATAAATAATTTTCCATTGTCTCTTTTGGAAAAAAAAATAAAAGTTAGAATTAATTAATAAGAAAGAACTTAGCGTTTCAAAAATAAGCATGAGACTAATGGCAGAATTATAAGGAAACTATTTTTAGAAGGACTTATGCCTTCTGATAGCATGATACTTTTAAAATAATTATTTGAAGGATTATTCTATCCAAAGAAGTATTTTCATAAATAGAAGAAAGAAAAGGCCTTATTATAGTTATTCTTGATAAAAATTGTTTAATGAAATATATAGAAGCCATTTTTGTAAGCTTAATTTTTCACTCTATCATGATCTATATCAGTTACAATATTTGCATTTTTAAATACACTTCAGCAGTTCATTACTGAAAGTTTACTGATAGATGTTGTCCTAATTACCTTTTCCTATTTTTAGTATCCATTTCATAAGGAATATTTCTTCACAAGCAAGCCTTAATAAGGAATCAAACTGATTGTAAATAACAAATTCAAAGGTGATCTTCTGTTCAATAAACAACTATATTTTGGCTAATGTGCAGACTGATAAACTATTACATGATTGTTTTGTTGCCATGCCAACACTTGCAACTTTGTAAAAAAAAATCACAAGGTTTTGGTCTTATAGGTACAAGAGTTAAGTGTTCATTTCAAGTGAATATTTAAACAATGGCATGTATAATCATTAAGAGGATACACAAAACTTATCACTACAAATTTAGGTGTAGACTTTTTTCGTAACCTGTAGTTCCCTGATATATTTTAATACACACACAGATGACCTCTGCAGACACTAAGAGCAGAGACATTTTCGGAGAGATCTCTAATGGTGTTAATATATTTCTAAATAGCTCTTCACTCTTGTCACATTTCACTCTATGCATATTAAAATTCCCTGTACTCCATTGACTAAAACACATTATAACATTTCTTTCTGATTGTAGGTTAGCATTTGTATGGCAGCAAGAACTTAATAGAATTCAAATACTACAATATTTTTAAATATATCTAGGAGAGCTACAAGTCAACATGACTGAGCCAAAATGAGCTGTGCTGAACTCCTGAATATAGAATATCTTGGTTTAACATGTTTTATAATGATCTGCTAAGTGATAAAACAATTACATTTAAGCAATATTATAAATAAGTTGCTATGTAAAAATCTCATTCTAGTGTACATTATCCAGTTTTAATACAATTCTCTGGAATTAATGAAAAAGAACAGTAGCTGAAGCTCAAATGGATTCAGGTTGAGCTACCTGAGTATATATAAAATTGCTCATTTTGCAGCTCTTTTTCTTATTGCTAGAATTTGACTGCTAAGTTCACCTCAAAGGAGAAGAATCAAAGGCTCTAGTCACACTACTGAGGACCTCTCTTGAAGAATAAATATACATGTTTTGGCTTCTCATCTTAGAGATGAAGGATAGTATGTTCTATATCATAGCAGAGAAACTCAAAAGTTCCAGATGCCAGTGTATATATCCACTCACTAGATAAAATCATCATTAGCAGTATAGGAGACTGTTACGTCTTTAAAGAGCTTGCTGTACAGGAAATTGTTATACATACATATATACACTTGTAGAATACCACATAAGGTATTTTCAGAGCAAACCTCCATTCAGTGCTACCTTGGAAAGTTTGGGAATCATATTCTGTAGTTTTAGTCTGAACATACTAATCATTTATATGATTTACCTTGAACAGGGGCCTGGACAAATGGATCTTGTTAGGTCCCTTCCAGCCCCACTATCCTATAATCTGTAAATAAAGTAAAAAAGATGCCAGGTACTTACCTTTCGGGAATGGATTTCTTTCACATAAAGTGGAAGTAGAAATTCAGATACACCTTCAAGTCGTATTCCTTTTTTGGTGACTCTCAGATTCCCCATTCCATCCTACAAGCAATAATATAAATATGCGTGTGTCACTTAAGGGAGAAACCACTGTTCAGAAAAAAAAAATACCAAAAGTATATACGTAAAATCTGATCTGGGGTCCAGAAGTAGCAAATGCTAATTCTCTGAACAGCAAAGGAAAATAAAAGGAACTCTCATTATACACAAAACTTTTCATGCATACAAAATCATAGGAAGGGCAACCAGATTTTGAAAATATGTTTAAAAATAAGTATGCAGTAGGTGTCAAGCTTGAAGATATATGATACTTTTCTAGGTAGTAGTCAAGCATGTGCTGAAGCTGTGGCACAGTGTAGAAGGAGGTTGATTATTGAAACCTTCTGAAAACTCCAAACAACAGTTTTGAGGAAAGCAAAATTTGACTACATAAATTATCTATATTTGCCAATCAACATCCTTCCTACCTCCTGTACTTGTAGACACGCATCTTGTAACAAAATGAATGTTGTTCCACTGACAAAAGGGTAGGCCAAGTCCTGGGGAATCTATGCAAGGAATGGTACCTTTATACTATCACTCATTAGAATATTGAGAAGTGCTCAATATTAAGAGAATCCTACTTTATACAGTTGAAGGTAAAAGCAGCAAGGAGTCTATTGAGTACCTTAAGGCAGGAAAAACAGCATTGCCACTGAGCAGCAGTGTGAAAGGAAGAAGCATTCAGCTGTACATAGCGCAGCAGCTTGAGCTGTCAAACGCTTGCAAGAATAAACCCTGGCACACAAGTTCTGAACCAAAGGTCTTTCTACTACCTTCTTCAAACTCAGTTTGGGTACAATTTTGAAGAGCAGCAGAAAAATAGAAAGATGTTCAATTATTTTTTTCTTTATTATGATACAATAAAATGACCCTTCTCCTGCTTACTTAAAACAGACTGGATTTAGTAGGAACGTATTTGGGTCCAAATTAGTAACACTTTAATATAGTCAAGTTATTTTGGACATTTTACATGCAGATTGAACTGCTGTGTTCAGAAGTCACTCAGACCCTAAGAAAGTTACAAAAAGTTGTTTCATTCTAGGCATGTCTTTACTGCCTTTTCTGCATTGCCATGAATCACACTCCACCTGCTAAGAACTAAATAACAATGTTCAAGTAGTTTCAGTGATGCCATGTACTATTCCATAGTTCTGCTGGTCTCTCCCAAGATATCAGTACCACTGTTGTAAGGCACTAGTAACTCCATTTATTTGAGCTGTCTCATGCCCTCAGCCATTTTGACCTAAGCTTATCTAAGACATTCTGAAGGAAAACAACTGTCTTGGTGCCTATTTCCCTCCATTTTCAGAACTGGAGAAGACATCGCATATTTCTCTGAGAGGGATGTTGGACTAGATGTTCTTGTGCGGGCCCTTCCAGTCTTTACATAACTATAATTCTGTGTGCCCATGTAGAGAAACAGCCTCATATGACTAATGAACTTTGTACCACTATTACAATTTGTAGCCATTATTTATCATTGCACATAGATAGACACATATTCATAAAGAAGTGACAGTTTTCAGGACCCCAAATCATACAGAATTGTTAGCTTTCCTTTATCTATCTCTTTATGGACCTGCAAGTTCCTCCCAACTGAGGGTTTGGACAGATATAACATTTGTAGCACTATGAACACTCTTGTAGTGCTATAGAAGTTGAAGAGACAGGTGAACATGCCCCCTGTAGTACTATATAGATGGCACAAGTATTAAAAAATTTTGCTAGATGAAACAGTAACTTCGCTGTAGCACTACATTTTGGGGCATTAGGCTATCAGTGTGCATGCTGCAGCTTTCAGTGTCCTGGGGGCTGCAGCACGGCTGGCTACTAGGACTGTGCAAAGTTTTGGTCCCTGATTTGATTCAGCAGAGATTTAGCCCAATTCAGTGGCTGAACCTCTGAATCCTAATCGAATCAGGAAACCCTTTAATCTCTCCAAATTGAATTGTAACCCTCTGAACTGATTCGGAGAGATTCAGAGAGATTCGGAAAGATTCAACAATTCGGACATAGACCCAGCTTTAAATGTTTTTTCTACATACCTGAAGGTACCAGGTGACTTATGAATGCTGAGATGCTGGGGTGGATGAAGTGTTCCACAGGAGTGTGGTTGACTCCCCAGTGGGCTTGGCAGCAGACCCAGAAGTGGACCAGAAGCACTTCTGGTCCACTGGGGAGTGCACTGGGAGGGTCCCCTGAACCCTCCTGGCTCGGTGACTGGTGCCTCCTGGGTCTGGGGGGCACCCGGGATCGCCCCATGGCTGATTGCTGAGTCAGGGGGATGAGGGGGGGAGGGGGCCCAGTATGCTCCCTGGTGGACCCATAAGAGGACCAAAAGTGTTTCTGGTCCCCTTCCGTGTTGAGCATACATCCCTCCCGCACACTCCTGCTCCAGTGGGACACTCCATCTGTCCCAGCATCGCAGCATTCATAAGCTGTGCCTGGTACCTTAAGGTATGTAGAAAAAAACATTTAAAGCTGTGTTTATGGCTGAATCGCTGATTCTCCAAATTGCCACTTAATTTTCAGATTCGCATTCAGCTGAATCAAATCAGGGACAGGATCCGAACCAACAAATCAAATCACTGTCCCTAATTCAGGCTGAATCCAAATCCAAATCAAATATGGCCTGTTTCGCACACCCATACTTGCCACCACCAACTAGGAGCTCGCTGTTCCAGTTTATTTATCTTTGATTGAAATACTAACCATTGGCCCTATGAAAAAATCCACTAGAACTGGTGTTGGTGGTATTATTATCCTTGTCCAAGCTCTGCACACTCTGCTCACTAGTAAACTATTAATACACTGTGAGGTAAATTCATTGCAGTTCTTGTAGTTTTCCAGATGTTGCATATTGATTTGGCTTGTGTTGTTTTCCATAACATGTATCAGATGTATTTGCCTTTTTTGTTGTTGTTGTTAGACTTGGAACAGCAGTTTCCTTTCTGCCTCACGTCTCCTTTTTGTAGTGTTGTGGATTCTCTAGCAGATCTATGATGTTACCTCACCATACACCTTCAAAAGGCTTTAGTGCTAATTGGTTGACTTCCTTTACAGTATTTTAATTAGCTTTCATGGGTTATTGCTGTCTTCCAGAAGTACCTCTGAAAGTTTCATGCCAGATCCTACTCATGCTTGCATCTCTAATTAGAATCAAGTAATCCCCTCAAATTGCAGCATTTGCTCTCCATCCTTGAATCAATCACCAATATTCTGTATTTATTTTAAAAAAGCAGGAGGTCACCTGATCACAGAAATGCAACTACAGTCAAAGAACTGTCTATTTCAACCCTTTCAGTGAAGCAATATTAAGTATATCCTAGACCATCCCTGGAAGGGAAACTTTAAATTACAACTACACTAAATCAGAGTACTACCTGCATGTCATGGTTTTAATAACATATACATATACAGTGATTGCATAGTAGGAGTAGCCAATGAAACAAGGAAAGACTATTCTCATATAACTAAATCTCATAAATAACCACACACTCTTAAAATCAAACTTTTAATTGGAAAATCTGTGGCAATCAAGTGTAGCTTGGGAACAATTTATCTTACTTTTACAAATCACTATCTTGCATATGTTATGGCATATCATGTGGAAGCAGACATACATTCTATGGTACAAATACACTTTTATTTAAAAAGTTAATCTAATTTCAGTATCACATATACATTACAAATACATGTCATGCAATCACAAAAACTTTAATAATATAACTTTGGCCATCAACCTCAGCTGCAACCCTAAATCTGGCCAACCCAAGATGGATTCTCCTATATGGAAGTAACCTTCGGTGACTACGAAAAACATAGGAAATATCTGAATTACTTTGTGTATTTTTGTATTATTGTGTGTACCTCAACTTTCTGCTTCTTGAATAAACCTGTATATTAAAATATTTTTTGTGAATACACATGTAAATGAAATATGTAGGATTTCCAGTTTTATAATATATAAAATCCATGTTCCTTTGTCTTCCTCTGATAGATAAGGTACAAATACAGTATCTTACTGTGCGGGCCGGGAGCGATCATGCCTTTTGGGTCATGACACTTACAACCCAAAATAAACACACACACAATGCTACCCAAAAAGTATGAACTAGCAAAAGTCAGCTTAAGCTTCATAGTCACAGTTCTCTTTTAAATAGAAATATGTCATGTTGTTGTACCTAGTGAATCACATATTTTTATATCAAAGAGCTAACAGTAAAACAAAATCTTATAGGAAAAAAGAAAAAATGTGATATTAGTAGGGCACTTTGAAAATTCTCTTACATTTTACAATATCAAATAGTTATGATTCAAGAATGATTTTTCTAAAAAAAAAATAAAAAATTTAAAAGGGTCTTTAAAAAAGCCTAATTGAAAGAAGCAATACATTAGACTCTCTGCTCCATCCCATAGACAGCAAAATATATGTCTGAGAACAGCATAGTAAGATTATCTCTACTGGTACATTTAAGGTGATACAGCTCCCAAAGGCTAGGGACAGACATTACACAACCCGGTTTAAGTGTTCAGAAACTGTTTTAAACCTGTAACAGAACAGATGTTCAGTGCACATAAGCCAGTTTAAAAATGCCTGAAACTGGTTTGAGATAAATCTAATACTACATTCAACCAGGTTTAACTGAACTGGGTCAAACTGGTTTATGCAATGTCTGTCCCAGACTCCTTTCTTGCTGGTTTAAGCTAAACCAAACACCCCTAGCATCCCAGCATGCTCTCTGAGCTGGTTGGGGTTCTCTGTTCCACAGCAGGGCTGGCCCCTCCCCTCTGTTCCCTGGCTACAGCTCCAGCACAGACTGGTCTGCTCCCTTCCTCCCCCTCACCACTCCCTGCTAAGCAGGAATTCCTTTCTCCCCTCTGTCTTGCTGTGGAGATGTCTATGTATTAGTTAACATATCGCATGCTGGCTATGGTCCGTGCTGAATCAACAGGTAGAATCAACAAGTAGCTGGTAATGTCCCTCCCTTGTTTTCTTAATGGGGCAATAAACACTGAGTTCAAAGTGATAAACACTTTCATCAATTCCCTGCTGGGCTAATCAAAGCATCCTGCCTGGCCATGACCCCCCTCAGCTTAGTGCTGTCAAAGGGATGGGCGGGCTGCTCTAGCACCCCACAGCTTCTGGCCTCAGCCACTTTAGGCATGTGCCTGCTTTTCTGGGATGTCTGTCTGGTTACAAAACTGATTTAGCCTAGCCAGGTTAGACTAACCTGCAAAGATTGAATCAGTTCAGGCTCAGGCTTTTTGAATGCGTGTCCCTAGCCAAAGTGAGAAGACACTTACATACTAAAGTGGTTTTATTCTTATGTAGCTGTATTTATCATCATACATGAGGGAAATACATACACAAGTATAAGGCTTCTTAATATTGATATTACTCTGTCCCCTCTAGAAATCACGCTTGGCAATTATATCAGTTTAAAAAAAAAACCCACCCCCTTCCACCCTCCCCACCAACACATTTACACAGGTATAGCTTTTGAGTTAGGACAAGCAAAGAAAAGAGAAAAATCATATGTAGTAATCTAAGAAAGACTTAACTGTAGGTGGTAAAGCTGAAATAAGCCTGAAGATTTAATGAATGAACGTCACTTCCCTTATTTCATGGTTACAAGAATATCAGGCACAATAGAAGAAAAGATTGTTTTCAAGCTACACTGGATCTTTAAAGATGATTATTTAGCGGAATTATGCCTTTGTACACCATTTTAAGATTAAACTATGTCTCTGTGACCAAGGTCCAAAAGCCACCATTGTAACAATAAAGGCCACCTTCTTTTCAAGACAGGGGACTATCACAATGGCAGACTCAAGAATGGGTAACATTTTCAGTTAGTATATCTACACTACAGTATATACTCCTGAGACAGTGTGAAACTAATGTAGCATCAGTAGAAAGTAAAAACAGAATGAAGGACCCCTGATATTCTATACATATTTAGGAAGGCTTAAAACTAATTACACAAAGTAGGAGGGCACTTCCTTTTCCATTAAAAGTAAAAGAGGAGATCAAATGTGATCTGGGAGTAGAAGAATTCTGAAACTGATGTCATGGCATATAGTTAATAAAAAAGCAGTGTTCTCACTTTAATTTTGGTAAGTATTTTTTTAATAATTTGTATACACTCTGTAGATGTTCTTTAAAAACAAAAGTGAGAATGTGATACCACCACCTGTACCCAGAGGGGAAACTAAGATAAAGACACTATCTCATCATTGACAGATCAATGCTAATGCAATACTCCTGCTGTTCTATCAACAGGGATAACCTGAGAGGGAACACCAACTGTGCTGTATTTTAGCTGTGAATAAATATTCAGTAGGAAGCAGGTACTGTTTTACTCACTCAGAGACAAACACATTTGCTAAGTTAAAAGTGGAAATTAACATATTACTTCATCTGGTTCTGATGGGGCATTTGTGGCTGCAAGGTTTAGCACTAATATATATTGCACACAAAAATGCATTAAGAAAAGCATTGCTGAGGTTGCCAAGTCAAGTGCTTAAGGGACAGGAATTGCCAGTAGTAAGGTTCCTTTTTTCACTGCCTTTTGGATATCCTTTTGGATATGCATATGATACTATCTTTAATAATACTATCACCCACTGTTATTTTCTCAAACATCCTACTTCAATCATTACAAAGGACTGAGAATACTTTGTTCATATGCAGCTACTTAATATTTTGTTTTGTTCAAAATGCAGCCCTAGACAATTAACTTTACACTATTCAAACTCTGTTGTGAAGATACAACAACTAATCCAATAGCTACTAGTTGTGCTAATCTGAAATATCTCAAACTTATTTTTCAGAATGCTTTGTAGTATATAGCATGGTTTAAGCACAGTTCACATAAACTTTGGTTGAAGCTATGGGTGCTCAGTTTTAGTACTTTGCTCAGTCATAGTCTCAGTTTCTTTCATCTTCTTTTTGAAGAGAGACGTTTGTAGTTTTGGTGTGTGGGCCTTGAAATTAAGTAAATAAAATATCCATTTTCCAGTACAATTTTATGCTTCTTTGGGGAAATATTCTTAGGTTCCTTTAGCTCCTTCCTTTCCTTTAGTTTCATTCTGGTCTTCCATAGAAGGACTATCCTTCTGACCATCTGCCAAAGCTTTCCACTTTAAATGCTGTAAGACACTGGGCATATGGGACTACTCTCACCCCAATAAAATTACATTATAAGATAATTAGATTTATTCAATAGGACAAGACAGTCAATGCATTTTGGAGCGTCTGCCATGGATGGTGTTAGGAAACTGAAGCAGGGTGACTGTGACCTTAACCACCTGACAAATGCAATAATCTTTTAGAAATGATTTTCCTGAAGTGTATTCTTGCCACTATGAAACAAAATTTGCAAATAACAAAGAAAAGCAATAAGGCCTGTACCCATTGTGCAGGGAAATTTGCTTGAATCATGTTGTCCTCTCTCTTAGAAACTGTTATAGTAGAGAACTGGGAGGAAGTCAGATAAATTCAGATAAATTTGAAAGGTTCACTTTCTGTCCTATTCCCATACTTATTCGGTGAGTGGAATGGGATTCCCAAATGCATCATTGATGTAGTTAGTCTATGAGGTGCAACTACACCATGCCTTTTGCCTGAGGCTCTTATAATACTATGAATCACATGAATGTTGATGGGTATTAGCGCTAGCTTGAGTTTGGAGCAGTCCCACTACAGGCCATTAGGAGCCTGGACTGATAGGTAAGAATCCCCTCCCCTCCCATTCTGGCCTTCCTCCATGCTCCCTGGCCCCCAGCACTCCCCCAGTTCCCAGCCCCTCCCTTCCCCTCAGGGTCTCCCAACCTCCACAGCATTACTTACTTGTGTGACTGCCTGTGCTATCTGTCCCAGCGAGCAGGCAGGGAAGGGTTTACTTGCCTACCCAGCCACCGCTACTTCTGAGCTGCTGCTCTTCTGGCTCAGACAGCAGCAGCAGTGGTAGCAGCCAGGCAGGCAGTTTAACCCTTCCCTGCCTGCTACCCTGGGACACACAATACGGACAGCCACAAGTAAGCAGGAGGGGAAGGTGGGGAGCAGTATGTAGAGATTTAGAGTGCTGGGGAGGGTGGGAGGCACTGGAGGGGACAAGTGGTGGGGGGTCATGTGGAGAGAAGTAGAGAGAGTTAGGATCAGACTGCCTGTCTCCCCCACCCCACTGCTTGCCTCTCATCTGTTTGCCCCCTGCCTATAATTAGATATTATACATGGAAAATTATATAATTGTTATAACTTTCCATGTATAGACTAATTGTTGGAGGATCTTCTTAAATTCAAAGTGATCTTGGAATCAGATAAATACAGTACTTCCTCATAGGCTTGTGGGCCCTTTGTTTCTATTTTGCTCTCCTTGGCATTATGATTCTTCTTGAATCTTAATCCTAGGGCCTCCATCCTAAAAGGGGTACACAATTCTCAACTATTATATCATTTCCATGGAATGTAATTAAATATAAAGAAATAAATCTGCATGAGATTTTATTCTCTAATAAACTGATATTATATTGGTGTTGAATTTTTTTCATTCATAGTTGACTGTTAACAAAAATCAAGCTTCAAGTAAAACAAACTCTGTTTAGCTTAAATTCTCACGTTGAAGGTTAAAGGCCTTTTGCACTGGATTATAAAATATATGTATGGCTACATGTATACATGGACACATTGGTTAGCAATCCCAGAAAACTGAAATAATATCCAAGCAAGAGGATGAATGCAACTCTGGCCCAAAGATAAAACTTTTACTAATGGCTGTGGGAATTTGATAAGGTGGCACTGGCGTCTGTATTAAATCAAAGCCTATAATATATTGACTAATAATTTGATATAATTTACTCATAATTTGATACAACCAAAAGCACTGTTGTATTTCCTATCTTTATCTATATCAAGTCTTTGGCAGCAATAATATTGATTTGATTTATAGCCTCTTCTCTCTTTCCTTGCTCTTGTAACTTGCAGTTCTGCCTAGTAAGTTTTAGTGGACACTATAAGGACATGTTAGTGTGAATGAAACAGATCAGCATGTTTGACAGCTATAGGAAATGATTATCAATTTGTCTTGCTAGGCAGATTTATGTATTTCCATTCACACTCTTCAGTGTATTGGGAACCCAAAACCTTGCTCATATTATAGAAAAAGAAATAAACTCATAATAGACTCCTACCAGTCTGGCTAGTCTATTTCGCCCTATGAGTTCCCAATATCCTCCAGTTTAATAAAACAACAACAAGGGACCGATCCCCCTCAACTTATTCAGTTTTTTTTAAGCTGCTTGTCCCTGATGAAAAGAAAAGAAAAGAAAAGAAAAAAACAATCCCACCACATACCTGAGATACTTATTTAGAAGCAGGTTAAACCATTTTTAATGATTTTTCTAATGTTCTGGGATTAATGGTTTTTCTACAAAACAACTTTGATCTTCACCAGTAATTCAAAAAGCAGAGTTATTAAAACTCAAACATATGAAAGACAAATCATTTATTTTATGCTGTTGCTGGGATTTTTATTATCATATCTTGTAATAACTTTTCTGCATTTGAAAGTCAATATCAAAGTAAATGAAGTCTCATATTATAATGGTGTTATAAATATTTGGGAAAGACAAGTAGTCTGATTTGTTGAAGCTTATGAACTGAGAAGCTTAAAAGACATTTTTATCTTTTATGACAAATCTCTGTCTTGAAAGTAAAATAAACAAATAATCAGTCCATGGAGTCAATCAAGCCAAATGCTAATATAACAGAATTTTTAAAGTACTTTGGCTGTGAGTAAGTGGGCGTAGATAAATGTTTTTAAGGGAGCTGTTAAATGAACTTATATATGATTTAAGGTCTAAAATTAATATTACACAAACATTTTAAAGAATCAAGATGTTCTTCCAGGAGGCAAAAAAGGGTGTTTTAAGCCTTTCATATTCTAAAAATTCCTTCAGACAACTAAGGGTTTAATTTCTGTATAATATTTTTCCTTCATTCAGGTACACTATTAAATCAGAATCTTATACACATCATTACACAAAGAAAAAATATAAGTGGACTATGAATTTCACTTAGCCAGTCAAGAATTTGTTTAATAATACTTTGCTCAATGTTGAAAGGTGCAAGTACTGCTACGAAGGCTAAAAGGGGATGGAAGAACCTACCGATCTGCCTTAAGTAAGTCTGTATATTATTTCATATACAATGGAAAGTGATTTTAAAACTTTAAGGCACTGACCAACTAGATGTACAAGAAATTCTGTATACACATGTGAAAATGTTGATTTTATGATTCATGTACATCTGTTTAACAAAACACAATAGCTCATTCACTACACAATGCATGAAGAGATTTGCACACTTCAGGGTGGGATTCATCCCAGCCAGTATAATTAGCAGGGCATTGAATAAACTATCTTGCCTCTCCCAGAGAATGCAGGGGCTTCTAACACAATCCAGTGTGTTGGATCAGACTCAATTATTTGAGCACAGAAATTGACGTGCTCTGGCAGCCCTACACGTTACGTGTATCAGCATTGCTGCGCATCTCCATGCTGACAAAATGGCAGCAGCACACTTTGAAATAAAACACATCCAATGAGCTTTAGTTCAAAGCAACATGCCACCATTTTTTTCAGTGTGGGGACACATGGAGATGCTGATACACATGATATAAAGGCACCTTTAATTAGTCTGGGTTGCTAATTAAAGTGCCCACCATATCCAGCACTGCATGTAAAAATGACCTAAATGCCTACTTCGTATTTTAGGGAGTCATGTCTTTCAGATGAGAAATCAAAGCTTGGAATCCTGTCCTGAATATTTTTTATTATGCTATGCTTTGCTTGTGCTGATGAGACACGATGAAGAATGCCTTGCATTCAAAAGCTGTTCTAATTCTATCCTAACTATGCAACTGGCCTAATAAAAGATATTACCCTAAGAAATTCCTGAAGGCATTTAGTTTTTTTTAATTAAAAAAATTGACCTTGGATTGCATATTTCTTTCAAAATAATCGTGTTAGCTTCTCCCCATTCACCCAGGTATGGGAGACCAAAGTTCTACATCTTCCTTAACCTGAGGGAGTTCAGACCCACATCTCCTACCACCCAGAAGGCTGTCTTAACCATCAGTCTATTAACATTTCTGGGCTATATTGAAGTACTTTCCAGTTGTCCTCTTGAAGCTGTGTTACTTTGCAAAATAGAGCTTGGCTTTCTAGCACAGTGCTTGGGGGACTTCCCTGTTTGAGCAGGTCTTGGCTTTTGACCCGTTCAAGGATTTCTTATGCATTTTATGTTAATCAAACAGTCATTGGTAAGTTGCCTGGGGATCTTCACTGTCAGAAATTTAAGCACCTAGGCACTCGTGGGAGTTTTCAGCACTCTTGAACTTTGGTAGAATTTCAGCATCTAATTTTTTTGTACATTTGGGTCTCTGTTCCCTTGAAAAAGAGCATGAAAAAATAAACTAAAAAAATGCTGGGCCAACATCTGACTTATATGTAAAAAAGTTGGTAAGGCTCATGACTCTGTTTTACAGGATAGTTTTGTTTTAATTTATTTTATCTTATTTCATAAAATGTGATAAATACTATTTGTTCAGTACTTTTCAGATGTGATAACACATTACTAGTGGGCATGGAAATTTATTAATTACAAAGACATGTGGGTCTTCTACAAATTCTACTATGGTAATGATAGTATGCAAATTGTTTTTACAAATGTGTAGTCAGTCACACATTCAGTCTCAAAGAAATTACATTTTATATTTCCTATCTCCTTACAGGACAAAATCATGCATTTTTAGAGTACTAGCCATACCTATTAGCCTTCTAATTGATAATAAATAATTTGCATTTTCTTGTTGGTTTGACAAAAATTGGTCTTCAGAAGGAATTTGAAGGAGGAGTTAGTGTACCATAAGACATGATATGGAAGTACAAAGAGGACTGCAGGAGAAGTAATAAAAGTGAGCTGTCACTAGAAGACTGAGGAAACCAAATTATAGATAAGAGAAAATAATTGGAAAGTACCAGAGTTATGAGGTAGGAATAAGAAGTTTAAATTTGATTTGGTGGAGAAGGGGGAGAGATAAAAAGGGTTATATGGTTAAATTATGGGAAAAGTAGGAGTTATTGGTAAGTATGCTGATGTTGGGTAGAAAGGGAAATTTAAGTTCTGGAAGACACCAGAAAGAAGGAGGAAAATAGTAATAGTGTAATCATAAAGCAATGGATTTTATAAATGTTAGAGGTAAAAGAGGCACCATTTCATCACTGCATGATTGTAGAAAGTACAGGAGCAAGGTTAGCTATTGATAGGCTTACATATGTGAAAGGATGGTGGTTTTGTCAATTGTGATAGACTAAAAGGAGTAGGCCTGCTTTGAGAGGAAAGATAATGGTAGGAACAGTGAAAAATGTTGGCAAAAACAAATATAAGTGAGTTCACAAATGGGCAGAGGAAGAAGTAGGAGAACAGCATGAAATGTTGTATTGGACTGATTGAAGCAAGTCAGGAGAGGAAACTTTGATTCATGAATAATTAGTGGAAAACAGTAACTGAAACCATGCATGACAATGAGGTCACTTAGAGAATCACTTAAAGCAAATCTGGATTCCATCATAGAATAGCAAGGGAAGATGGAGCACTGTAAGACAGTGAAGGAATATTCAAAGGTAAAAGAAGAAGATAGAGATGATGGAGAATAGGCAATGAGATTTACCTAGCAGAACTGACTGCAAACTGGTGATGGCAGTTTTGGGGAAAAGGCCAATAACCAGTCTAGTTGGAATCTGAAACAAAGTTTGAGTAGAAGGTGACTATATTATAACCTCTAGAACATTTTGAAAGGATAAAGTTTGAGTTTCCTAACATTCTTGAGTTATACTCAGTTTATATTCATTTGAAATTTCATACATGTCTTGGCATCCCTATCTGCATTTTAAACTTAAGACTCAACAAAACTACTAGAATATGTTTGGGTACTACAATCACATTACATAAATGTTTAGAGAGTAGTTTTGCTGAGTCTACAGCCTAAAACACAATTAATGACATCAAGAGACACATAAAATTGCCCCTACATATTAAGGGAATGCCAATTCAGAAATCTAATTATTATCAGATACCTACTTTAAGTACCATTTAATAATGTATCGTTCCATGGGCAGATATAAGATTTTGAAAAGGAGGGTACAGATGGCATAGTACATCATCACATATAAACATGGCACATACCTTTCTCCAACTAAAGAGAAAGTAGAAGCTTTACTAATATACTAAGTGCCCTGTGCTATATTATTCCATTTAAGATCAAAGCAAGAAATATATTGATATGTTTACTACAGTATTTACTCAAATATAAAATGAGGATTCTCCTCTGCCCTCCATCACATCAACACAGGGGGGGAAAAAAAGCTCCTTACCTTACATTCACATACAAGGAAACTGCATTAAATACATTGCCTGCACTGAACTGCTGGTAAAAATAGCATGTGCTCAGTAACAGAAACCAACTATGATAAATGCAGTCAACACTGAGTGACTATAAAGTACATGGCTCATGTTGGGTAAACATGCTGATGGGAACCATTTTTAGGTTTTGTTGGGGGGTGGGGGGGTTGGGTTTTTTGGTCCTTCAAAAAATGGGCAGGTGTTCCCTCCACAAGGAACAGGCCTGGAGGTAATACCAGGCTGGCAGCAGGAGGGCCAAAGTCAGCCCTGACACCCTCCATAAGTGATCCTACTACTGAAAAACATCCCCCACCCCCATCTGGGGCTTCAGATGTTTCCAAAACCTTTGGCAGGCATCCTACTTGCAGGCCCAAGCTCAGAGGCTTGGGGTTTTGGTGCCCTGAGTTTTTCTTGCCCTCAGCCCATAGGCTACAGAAGCAAGCTAGAAAGGAATCTCCCCTTTCCATAAAGTGGGCATAAAGCCAAGATCTTCCCATTACAGCCCCTATTGGAAGGTGTACTGTACATTACCAGTGCCAAGAGAGCAGTCTTCCCCATGTGTGACTAGGAAGACTGCCTCGATAGTCATGGTGTTTCCCTTGCTAGGCAAGCATAGGACTAAACTTGCTCTGAGCTGACAAGAGACCAAGAAGCGATATGACCTACCACAAGGAGAGGTTAGTACAACCCACGTAAATAAGACATGTTGTAGTGCCTATTGGGTATAGTCCCCCTCAGCGCTGACTCTTTTTATAGTCATGATGAGCCACTACACTGAATAAAATTTGTGTATTATTTCCTATAGCTCAGCTGCATGTTTCTTTCCCATTCCCAATTACTCTTGTTTCTTCACCAGCCTTAAATGTCTGGCAAACATCACACAACTGAGACCCAAACAGTTCACCCAGAATCCCTCTGTTGCCCCCTCTCTCAGCCTGTTGCATATGATTGGTGTGGATCCACCCTCTATGAGGTGAAGTCATACCAGGTTGCCCTACATCTCATTTGCATATACATTTTTGGAGGATCCCAGAACTTGTGACAAGAACACCTGGTCCTAGCCATGAGGACAAATTAGCACATGGATCATTTTTCAGGTATCTGGAGTATACAAATATATGGAGCAGTGCTGAGCTGTGGGGTTACCAGGGTTTTAAATGCTGTGGCTTGAAATGCTGTTGATTCTGCTGGAGTCCAGACCAATAAACTATATGGTAAATCATGAGGCTTTTGGTTTTAGAATAATATCATGCATAGTTCACAGTCTCTCTAAGTAGGTGTTAAAGTGCTACTTAAAAGTGTGTTTATGGAGTACCTTTGCTAAAACTAACAACAGTTTCAAAGAAGGTAAAAATACATTGATTCTGGATGAATTAAGCCTATGGGTACAATATGCAAATTGCTACAGCTGTGTTTATTTAAAGGTCAATTTTTTTCAAATTTGTTTCTCACTTTCATGTGTGCAGGGAGAGTAAGGTCTAACAGTAGGAAGGGAGGAAGGGGCTGCAGAGAGAAGTTGTTGGGGGGCAGAGGACAAAGGGACTACCTGACCCCCCAGATGTATTTTCCCTCTTGTAGCAGTGCGAGATTGACAAATTCAAGACAAACCTCCAATAATTAGATTTTATACCTGAAAAGTTATATTAAATATATAATTGTTCCATACATAGAATCTAATTATTGGGAGGGTCATATTATAGTCAAGTACATATGATAATAGCTATATTATGTATTAAGTTTAAAAACACTAGAAGCTAGGTAAAAATGGTAAAAATAGTCAAAAGATTCTTATTCGTTAGTCCTGTAGTCATTGCAGTTATATGTACATCTCTTATTCAAATACAAAATCTAGTCTTGAGTGTCTTAACAATGCCTCCAATACTTTACCATCAGTAATTTCTACACCAAGTTAATATTACTGTGCCTGAGTTAAGGTTTATGGCTAAAGCTAAAAACAGTCTGTGGGGCTGTGGCACAGAAGAGAGACATTACCAGGAATGGCTAACAGACAGCAAAATTGTAGAACAAAGTACACCTTGAATAGTATAGACACCATTAAAAAGGGAGAGAGGATCATTAACACCTCTGGAATGAAGAGACATTAGCAGAAATCAGGTAGAATATAATGAACCAAGAAGTCATTTAACTCCTTCAGGGCTGTCTGAATAGAAATTCCAGTGCCCCTACTAGGCAGTCAAGTGCTAGTCCAGTGCTAGTTAAATGTTATCCATAATAGGTCACAGAAATTCAGTTGCTCTCAGGAGAATTGTTGCTTTCCTGATAGAAATCACAAGCGTGCAGAAATTGCAGCTTTTTGGTTTGTTTGTTTTTAAGGAGCAAAAAATGGCTGCTCTGGCAGAAAAAAATAACTGGACTATATTGAAGTAGAAATCACTCCTGAGAGAGTTTCTTCCAGGAGAATGAATGTTTGAACACTTTCATGGAACTTAACTCCTCCCAGGTACCACAAGGAGTGGAACCACAGAGAAAGGTTCCTGTGCCTTCTAGAGACCAGTCATGCATATCAGGAAAAAGCATGGGTCAAGTTCTCCTATCTCTCCCATAGACCAAGAAAGGAGGGGAGATGTAGCTGCCAGCTATTCCCTGCTTGCTGAGCACCCTTGAGTCCTCACAGTGAGAACTGGGTAGTAAGGGTTGCCCCACTGCTCCCTGCAGTCTTCCCCCTGAGACTGGGAGTAGAGAAGAGGAACAACTGCTTGCTGTTCCCCATCTTCTCCCTAGATTGGGGTCTCAGGTTTGGGGAATGGGCAAGGGGATTTGCCCTTCTGCTCCCTTCCACTCCTGGACTAGTCCAGGAGGGGAAGGAGGAAGTGAAACCAAGCCTCCAGTCCCTTCTCCAAGCCAGGCAGTACCTGGTTCAGGGAAGAGGCAGGGAGCCATAGCAGCTGACTGGTCCAGGGCTAGTTCAGGAGTGGAGTGCTGAAGGCTGCTCCTTTCCTTTTCACCAGACCCCTGTCTGGGGAAGGCATGTGGAGTGTTTTCCTGCTGCTCCAGTTCCCCCAGGGACTGGGAGGAATGGAGCATCCATGGTTCTTCATGCATTCCCCAGGTCAGGATCATGGTGATCTAAGGAAAATTCAGAGAGTGGAGAGGGAGGGCAGAGGAAGGGTGGCTGCCAGCGGAGCTGCACATGTGACTGGCCATGGAAAAGTGTCACACAGTGGTGATGGCAGCACAGAGTGGTGGGTGGCGGGAGCAGGGCCCGCCATATGTGAGCACCACCAGCTCCCTCCCCACTCCCTGTGTCTGGCCACCACCACCAGTACACTATTCAAAAAAAGGTTGAAAAACCCTGTTCTAAATGATTTTAATTAAATTTACATTTTCATATGTTTAAGCCCATGCTGGATTGTTTTGAGAGGTGTTCAATGCTTGTACTAGAATATTAAAGATATCAATTAACTTAATTATGTGTTACACTGATTAAACATCCCATGAGAAGTAAAATTCTGCATTTGTCAGGTTTGATATAGTACCCTTTTCTTAATTTCAATGCAATCACTTAAAATAATCACTTTCTATTATGACATTATTAAGATTAAGATTAAGTTGTTACTACTGTTTGTCTTGAAAATTGATGACATAAATATTTCTATCAAGTGTATGTGATGCATTTCGTCAAGGAAACTACATAATAACTATTAGTGAATAGTTTATTTTTTGTTTTATGAGAAGCAAACTTTGTAACATAGAAAATACTATGTACATGCTTAACTGTGACCATTTCAGTCAACCAAATGAACTGCTTATATGGTTATTGTCTCGGACAGCCGGAGCCGACTCGAGGTGATATACAAATTGCTCGGTCATTTGGGTGGGCTGGTGAATGGAGAGGCAGACAAAGCGTATTGGTTGCGAAAAACTTTACTTACGCCACTAGTAGCCGCAACGCAGGTGGTCCGGTCTCTTAAACAACTCCATGAGTTGCTCCAGCTGGCAAGGCTCAGGCCAGCTAATCCGTCCACAAATTAAGCCGGCAGAGAAAGGGTACGTCGAAGGATTGCGCTCGGCGACGGGGAGAAAAATCGATAGGTGATCAGGCTATCGATCAGCTCAGCCGCAAGTCAGATATCTTTAGAGGCACTCTGCAGCGTGCTCAAAGTTCTCCAACTTGGGCGGAAGTTGCACAAAATTTTATACGGCCAGCAAGCCAATTACTAGCCGCCACGTAGGAATAATTTAGAACTGGCCAATAGCGGGACACAAATTTGCATGCGAATGGCGGGAACTCTCTTGCACCGGGGTTTTCTGTTGCAGCAGAAAACTTTTGCTGTGCAAGAGACTCTCATGTGGCAGAATAATTCCATCGTGCCGAGGCACTAAAATCATTGGGTTGTGACATGCCCCCTTGCTGACGGCACAACTGGAATTTTAGACACATAAGCACGTTATAGGGAATTTTTGTTTCAGGATTCATTGGCCTGACGGAGCTTAAGCAACCAACATGTACATATAACAAACAATTTTACAGACTGGTCTTTTTAACAAACTATAAAATACAATAACTTAAACATATAAGAACAACTATTAGTTATCGTCTGATTGGAGAACTTCTGTTTGGGACTCCCCTCGTTTATTAGTCAGTGCACAATGAAATAATTACCGCGGGACGTCCGTCTTCTCCCATAACAGACAATGCCAATTAAAATACTTAACAAAATGAGAGAGGAGCAGCGCCATAGCAAGTTCTGGGCCGATGGACATTCGCTGCCTCGGTGCCCCCTCCATAGCCGTTATTACGTTGACTTAAGGGAACTGCAGTTGGGTGTTCGACGGATCTTACAATCGGGCGGCTGTGGATTACTGCTTTGTTGAAGTCGGGCCTGTAAAGAAAGAAACAACAACAGAACAAAACAAAAGAGAATCGTAGTTGAATTTACTTTAAGGATATTAGGTGAACGTCAGAATGACAAGTCATCCAGTTGTGATGAACGATAATAGGGGGACGATCGGGCTTTTGCTCTAATTGGACAGAATAGGTTTAGGATATTGTCCCGACCGTTGAACTGTTCCCTTG